GCAATCGCCTCGTGCGCACCCCCTACAGGAATGCAAAATCACGTATATATATATATATATATATATATATACACGTGATTTTGCACAGCTGTGCTGCCCTGCCGCAGTAAATGTGCTGTGGCTGGTCGGCAAGTGGTTAAACTTGTAAAGAAAGAGTGCCAGAAAATGCTAGATATTTAAATCTGCCACCTCCATAGAAAATGTTGGGGAGGTGGAGTGTTGGGCAGAGCAGACACAGCAGAGATAGGATGAGAGGCAGAGCAGATTCAACTGTCCTGTTCATATAGCACACTGAGCAGGGCACTGCCAATCCTGTGTACCAATATTTCACTCTTAAGATTCCTGTGAGTGAGATATTACAGGATGAGCACAGCACAGTGCACCCACCCCCAGCTTGCAGACAGAAATGTCCAGGTCGGCAATGACAGGGAGGTGATGCAGCAGATACAGCACTGCTGATAAAATAGGATGGATTACTCAGGGTGTGTAGTTTGTTACAGGTCACAGTGAACCCCCTTTTCTCAGGGCCCTTGTGCCCTACACACTTCTGCACACTGGATGATACACCACTGCATACAGGGTGATTAGGGTGTGCCCAAGCACATCCAGCACACCCCCGTGTGCATGTCTATGACTTCAGGTAAATCTAACCTTTCCTTTTATGAAATACACAAATCTAAATTTGACTTGCTCAAACTTGTTGAAACGTATGGATTTTGGCATATCCTACACCCCCATGGAAGCCCGATGGTCAAAACATGTCGGGATTCATCACACAGTATACACATGTTGCCTGGAATTATCATCTGTAAGACCTATTGTACCCAGCTTTCAAGATTGTTTTTAAACAAATTATGTTGTATTTTAATCTTATATGTGTAATCAAAACTTCAGTGTCTTTTTCTTTAAATTTGTATAGTATTGAATGACCTTGCACCTATAAAGTCCTAAATCTGAAGGAGTGATATTCTATCCTTTTTTTCTGTGTATGTAAATTTAGGGGTGTGATGCTGTGGTTCCTTCTTTGGCTTTAATATTTGAGAAATTATAAAAAAAAGGTGTATTACAAAACAAATATATCATAGAGCTGTACTAAGACAAGTGGGTTAAGGTTAGTATAATATCTCTATGCGTTTCACTGTTGCTGCTATATTAGGAGAACTTTATGTGCTGGTAATAAAGAGTTTAACAAATGTTAAGAAACATACACCAAAAAAAAAAAAACAGAAAACAAAAATACAAGAGAACTACATATATCCATTTGGGTAGTTACTCCCAGCATATACCACTAGAGGGATCTTTCACCACCACCACCAATGGAGGGAGGGCTCAGCTTGACCCAAACAGATGGAACCAAACGCAGGCCACAAACTAACATACATAGATAGGTGTAGGACTCTGCCAGGACAGAAACTTAATAATATGCTAAAGGAAACAAATAAACATAACAAAAAACATGTACATAAGGAGTCTGAGACCAAGGAGGAAATGCCAGAAAAGAAACTCACCTAATGCCTGCTGAACCGTCTCCCCATGTGAAGTATTGCTATACTCACTGCAATCCCCGGTGTGCTCTTAAATGTCTTGGTGCAAGACCCCCTCCTTGTACCGTCACCACTGATGAAAACTTGTCCAAAACCAACGTGGCGGATGTGCATGTCCAGTGGTGGCAGTGTGGAGTGAAACTGGAACACCCGCCTTCTGTACAGTCATCAGGTCACAGCACCATGCAGGCCACCCGATCACCAAGGTGACACAGAAGCTACAGGAAGAAGACCATTCAAAAGGATGTGACAGACCCCTGCGCCCCGCCAAGGATCAATAACCCAGGCCTTTTTGCCTATTCTATTGACTGCATATTTAGCTGCCCAAAATTTTGTCATATGGAAACATGACAAGGACTAAAGTAATCCAGATATCTATCTACCCATTTCCCTCCTTAAATGGGACATTAAGTTTTATTCCAAAATTATATCTACTAGACTAGTCCTGTGTTCTATTTGCCATACTGACTAGGTAGGGTTGTCAGTTCAGTGGAAGCTAGAGATAACTCAATAACATGATTAATCTTATATTCTATGCCAAAAACACATAATCCTGGCCCACCCGTTGTTCATAGATGCTGAAAAGGCATTTGATAGGACCAGCTGGCAGTTTCCTAGACGTTCCCTAACCCAACTAAATTTGAAAGAGAACATAATTTCCAAAATTATGGCTTTGTAATCAAACCTTTTGGCTAGAATTTGGACTAATGGTGGCCTGTCAAACCTCTTTTTTTCATCCCCAATGGCACTCTCCAGGGTTGCCCACTGTCCTCCATACGCTTTATCATTACAATGGAACACTTAACAATGGCCTTAAGAAATAATACAGCTATCAAAGAAATCCTCCTTGGTGAAAAAAATATAAATTAGCCCTCTTTACTAATGATTTACTACTCTATCTCACCTCCCCCTAATTAGCTTACCTTTTATGCTATTACATTTAATACTACATGAGTTTCACTTCTTTAGTGAAGTGAGCAATTTTAAAGTAAACCCAACTAAATATGAAATGAAAAATATTTATTTGTCCCCTCCAGATGTATCCCATTTATATTCCTCCTTCCCATTCAAATGGCAGCCCATAGAGATAAGGTAATTAGGAGTAAAAATACCTGTGGATCCATAATGCTCTTTACTTTAAACTATTTAGCACTCATTTTTAGGTTCAAAACAGACCTACATAACTAGAAAGCTTTTCCATTATTCTGGTTCAACAACATGAACATTATAAAGATGAATATTTTACCAAAATTTGTATACCTATTTCAAATGCTCCCCTTCCAAATTCCTCATTTTCCTCTTCAGCTTTCTAAGGAAACCATATATAAATGTATATGGCAGTATGGGCTTACCTCATTTTGAGATTCACTACAAAGACAATATTCTCTTTTGGGTGTTAAATTGATTCCAGTAAGTACATAGCAAGCAATTGGTCCAAATGTAAGCTGATCTATCACCATTCATTCTCTATAAGCCTTAAGGATCCCTTCTACACTTCTAGATAAGCAGATGGGATACCCTGCATTAATATACTGTATAGTACTAATACATTCTTGGCAGAACCATTTCCAACTACATTTACTAGGTTCTGTGGAAAAATGTATTAGATGTTCTATTAGAAAATTAACCCCATTATGCTTTTCTAAGTACTGTGTGAAAATGGGAAGCAGACTTTGCCTTATCCCTTACTTTGCAGATTGGCATAAGGCATTCACTCCAACACATAAACTCTCTGTTTCTTGCAAATTCCAAGACACAGTGGACCACTCAGTGTTTTTTCTGTCTTCACTCTTCCAACAACACTTTAAAATACTCATCTGACACCCTCTAAACTGCACTCCATGTATCCTGCACATCCTGACTTCTGTTGACACTGCCTGCAATCTACACACCTTCACATCTGGTGGTAATATCAACCTATCTATAATTTCAGAAACAAGGTCATTAGTCTATATACTAAGATACAATGTGAAAATATTGCAAATTTTCCACAACTGCTGCTTTTAATGACAGCTTCACACTCAATCTCAGAGGCTAAAAAGACAATACTAGAATTTTTGACCTGCAGGTAACGTCAAGGCATTGGAAATCTATATGGGTATACTGATATACAGAATGGGTAGATCTTTTAAATGAGATTTAGAACAAATAGCCATTGAGAGGTTCAACATAGATAAATACAATAAAATGTGGACCACTTGGGTCCCCTATAAAAGTCCTCTTACTTTAGGGACCTCTAATTTTTATTAGAAGATCTTTAGGCACTTGACTACTTTGTTGATGTAAACTTGAATTTCCAGTGACTTTACAACAGTATTCTCTTCATAACAGATGCAGTTAAGTAGGACAAGCCATGATGGGACAGCCCCAATATCCCTTTTGTTGGTCCTCCATTTCTTCCTTACAATCCATTTCTATACCCCTCCTCCTTCTTTCCTCCCTACTTTCCATCGTCTACACCTCCCACAGCTGTCTCCTACACTAGTTCAAGGTTCTAAACCCAGTCAGACCACAGGGCAAACTTAGAGTGATTGTAAAGATTCAGTTTTTTCCCCCTAAAATAATAAATTTTTTATGCTTACCTCCTCTGTTCAATAGTATTGCACAGAGCATTCCCTTTTCTCGGGTCCCCGCTGGCACTCTTGGCTCCTCCTTCCTTCTGAGTGCACCCATAGCACACCTCCGGCTATGGAGGCACTCATGTGGCCTCAATCACAAGCCAGACTGTATGCATCTACAAATACACACATAGAATGGCTAAATGTCAGGGCTCCGGGCATGACCAGAGGTGTGGACCGACACAGGCAAACACAGACTTCATATATAGCGTGTAAAACAATATAATTTATTAAGGGCAACACAAACATAAAAACAGTGCAACAAACCAAACCCAAAACAAACACAAATACGTACAACAAGGTGCAACAAACCCAAACCTTAACTGATATATATATAAATATGGAGCACAATGTAGTCAGGCGGGGCCAGGTCGGTAGCTAACGGGCAGACAAGGTACAAGGAGTAGGCAGAAGATTGGACAGGAGTTCAAGCAGAGTCAGGATCAAGCAAAGTCAGAATCAGGCAGGAAGCAGACAGGATTCAGGTACAGGGGCTCATGGGAACAATATACCAAGGCCCTGACTGCAGACCTGGTCATTCCTGCAATCAGCCTTAGGTGATGGCTTGATTGCAGTAGTGAGCTTCTGGCTGCTGAGAGCACCCGCTGGCCAGTCCTGGTACTGCAGCCCACAACGCAGGTGAGACCCACCACCATTGGCGAGTTGATTCCTGACAGTACCCCCCCTCAAGGAGCGGCCTCAGGATGCTCCAAGCAGACCGTAATGGCACATGGGGTAGGGCAGCAGGCAGAGGCACATCGGGCTGGGCAGCAGGCAGAGGCACATCGGGCTGGGCAGCAGGCAGAGTCACATCAGGTGGAGCAGCAGGCAGAGGCACATCAGGCGGAGCAGCGGGCACCGGGCCATCAGGCGGAGCAGCGGGCCATCAGGCGAGGCAGCGGGCACTGAGGCATCAAGCTCGACAGCAAGCACCGAGCCATCTGGCACGACAGCAGGCACCGAGTCTCATCTGGCACGACAGCGGGCACCGAGTCACCAAGCTCGACAGCGGGCACCGAGTCACCAAGCTCGACAGCGGGCACCGAGTCATCAGATAGGACAGACAAGACAGCGGGCACCGGGGCGTCAGGCTGGACTGCGGGCACTGGGGCGTCAGGCTGGACTGCGGGCACTGGGGCGTCAGGTTGGACCACGGGCACCGGGGCGTCAGGCTGGACCGGGTCATCTGGCTGGATCGGGTCATCTGGCTGGATCAGGTCATCTGGCTGGATTGGGTCATCAGGCTGGATCGGGTCATCCGGCTGGATCGGATCATAAGGCTGGGTAGAATCATCAGGCTGGGTAGCGTACACTGGGTCATCAGGCATCCGGGCATCAGGCTGAACAGCGGGCACTGGGGTACCAGACTGGATAACAGAAGGCGGGTTCTCAAACCGCAGGCTGACCGGTTTGGATACTGGCAGGATAGTACTGGTTGGAAAGAATTTTCGTTTCTTCTTGGTTTTAGTTACTGGAGCACTGTAAGTAAACGCAGGTCTGTAAACGGAGGGAGCAGCTTCTACAGATGACTTCTTTACAGGGTTAAAGGCAGGACAGGTGCAGTGAATGGGAACAGGGGACTGACATGTGGTAGATAGCAGGGTATACTGGGCTGTAACTGGGGGTGCTGTGGGAAATGGAGGAAGAGAGCTTTGAGCAGAGGAGTGATTAGAAGCAGGACGGGGTTGTTGCAAGCTGACTGAGGCTGGGTGTAACAAATCTGATCATGACTGTAGTATTGGTTGAACAAAGCTCAGCTTACACAAAGCCTGTCTGACCAAAGACTGCACTGCATTTATACAATCCACTAGCACCTGTTGTGAACATGCTGAATAATGCTCCAAGAAGCAATACGGATCATCCTCCAATAACCATATCAGTGACTCTACTTGGTCTGCACTAAACGACGGCAAAAAGTCATCCCTGCTTTCAGGGGTACTAGATGAAGCCAACTCAGCACAAGCCAGAATCAATGGTTGCACCTCAGAGAACTCCGTGCCCTTATCTACTATGGAATGAGCGACCCGTATGCACTCTAGCAGCTGATCCCTGGCATACTCCTTCAGAGTCTGATAGGCAAAATCTCTGTCATCTAAGACTAGCAGATACAAGTACACAACCTCCTCCGGATGCATCCTTCACAACAACAAGCCAAGATGGCTTCCCTGTGCAACCACTTCTGGGCAGGACTGGTCTTGGTGTAATGTCAGGGCTCCGGGTATGACCAAACACAGGGAAACACAGACTTCAGGTATAGCATGAAAACAATATAATTTATTAAGGGCAACACAAACATAAATGCAGTGCAACACACCAAACCCAAAACTAACACAAATACGTACAACAAGGTGCAACAAACCCAAACCTTAACTGATATATATATATATATATAAATATGGAGCACAACGTAGTCAAGTGGGCCGGGTCGGTAGCTATCGGGCAGACAAGGTACAAGGAGTAGGGAGAAGATTGGTCAGGAGTAGCCGAGGTCGGTGCAGTCAGAGTTCAAGCAGAGTCAGAATCAGGCAGGAAGCAGACAGGATGCAGGTACAGGGGCTCATGGGACCAATACACCAAGGCCCTGACTGCAGGCCTGGTCATTCCTTAAATACACCTCCTGCAATCAGCCTCAGGTGATGACTTGATTGCAGGAGTGAGCTTCTGGCTGCTGAGAGCACCCGCTGGCCAGCCCTGGTACTGCAGCCCACAAGGCAGGTGAGTCCCACCACCATTGGCAAGTCCATTCCTGACACTAGGCCCCACCTCCCACTCCCTCCTCACATCTTCACAGGATTTGATTAAAACAGCAGGAGCAATTGGTCCTGTGGGGAGAGAACAAGCAATGCTGTTGCTCTTGGACACAGCGCTGGATTGAAATAAGACTCAGGTAAGTATTTAGGGGGGAGGACTGAGGGAGCTGATCATGGAAGGTTTTTTACCTTAATGCACAACATTAATTAAGGTGAAAAAAAACCCTCATACCTTTACAACCATTTTAATATAACATCATTTTGTTGTTGCAATAATATTTCCTTGATCTTTGCTATTAATTTTAACCTGTATCTCTTGAAATTGCTTCTAATTTATGCTGTATGTAAACATTTCTGTACCCAATATGCTGTTTAGCAGTGTTGTAATAAAAACCTGTTGCAATCCTTGCTTGTGTTTGCTTGACCAGGGCAGAGATAGCCTAACATAGAAAAAAAAGAATGACGAAAATGTAAATCTGTGGATAAAGCTTAACAAAAACACATGATGATGATTTTGGGAAAATGTAAATGTGGAACAGGCCAGACCATAAACAAGAGAAAGGAGGCTGTTTTCGTCAGCTAGTATGGAGACAGATAAGGTACTAATCTACAGTGGTGGGCAGTCAGGGCCAGCAAGGCCTTCTCTGATGGCCTAAACACTTCCTAAACTATCAGAATCACCAATGCTAACATTTTAGTATATTTTTTCCATGAATGTGTTATTCCCAGCAGTCTATTCTCTTCATTGCATAGCTCTTCTCTTGGTTTCACTGCTTCCAGTGGTATTAGAGTTTTTGATCCAATCAAATTTCAGCCATGATAGCCAGGAGAGAAGAGAGGAACAGATCTCCTAAATTTTTCACACAGAGCTGGCCTTGCGCCTAAAGATGGCTGCAGCTACCATCAAGCCGACCCCAGAGACTTTGTTATCAAACTTTATTCATTCCACTTATATATTATATAAGTAGTTATCATGTGCTGTTGCCATATGCACCTGAGCCATTATCCTTCATAAACTTGCATATTTGTGATATTTATACTCCATTAACTGTTTGTTTCCCTCCCCTCTCCCCCTCTTCTGAATTGGAGTTTATATTCCCCTGTGTACCAGAACTTCTCCCCCAGCCATGATAGTCATCCTGTGTTCCCAGGGTCAGAGAAATGTGCCTTGTGGCCTTCAGGGTCAACAGTGCAGGTGCCTATAGCTTACAGTAAATGACAATGAAACTGTAACTTTAACCAATCAGATTTTGAGTTGGTGACACCAGGGCCATTTAGCAGGCGTACAAATAGGCCTACATCTTTTCTTTTTTTCCATAACTAAATGTGACAGAGCAGAGGAAGCCTGATGTAAATGGATACAGCAGACCGCTGTGTCTTCTTACTTCTGTAGCCTCCTGGGATATGTGGTTTTACATAAATAAATAAAATCTGATCATTTTAAGCACCCCTAGTAGTGGTAAATGGTTTGTCTCATCCCTGTAAACTGATGAAAATAAAAGAATGAAAGTCTCAAAAAGAAAACAAATGCAGCCATCAAATCTAAGATTTTGTAAGCTGCAATAAAATTAATGTTTACTTCTAGGTTTAATACCATAATTTTGCTCATTAATAGGTTAGCCAGGCCTCAGTTTTTCCATGGCCCCATTTTTTCTGTGCTAAGGTTACAACCACAAATTGCTGGATTAATTCAGGTAGGACATCACTGAAGGTGTAGGTGTGAAATGCATGACCTACCACTGCCAAGCTGGTATACAGGCGCTGGGTGTGCATGAATTTGGGAGCTTTTTTTCTTTAACTCCAGCAAAAATAAAAAAAAATTGAATGGGAAGGCAGTTAATAGAGATGGTGGAGTGGTTGAAAGGGGAGCAGGCTTGTATGCCTATTTCTTGCTGCCGCCTGCCCTTCCCCTCTTATCCCTGGAGAAATACTCACAGTAAAAGGAAAACAAAGACCAAATGGATTAAAATTACTTTCCCATTAAATGTGGTGGCCCTACAAAATCTAACTTCCTTTTCAGACATGGCCTGTTGATAAACACATCAAATTATTGTTATCACCCCCCATTGCCAACTTTCAATCTTTAACATTTAATCTTAAGTCTAGCCATACCCAGCAGAGTGAAAGCTGCACATCCTAAAGGTACAGCTCAATAATATTACATAATATTATTAATAACCTATCTAACATGTTATGGCCCATTTCAGACTACACTCAAAAATAAAGTTAACCTGCTCTAAGGTAACTACAGTGAAGAACAACAGGCACTTTGTAGTCCCTGCAAGTACCTGACTTAGTCTTCAAAATGAGTCCCATGTTTCCACGGAGCCCCATCAAATTCTAGGCCCATGATAAAGTAAAAATTAGACCCCTTCCCTTCTAGTTGTTAAGCCCTACCCCATGACATTTTTGTAAATCAGACATTCATTTGTAGTTGTTAACACAACCAGTAACAATATAAAAATTGGGATTTTCCCACTAACCCATTATTCCTGCCAATCCGAATACATTTAAAATTTATCACAGTCATGTACAAATACATTCTTTTCAGCATGATGTTAAAGTGTATAGTAGCCATCATTCAGATTTACATGTAAAACAAGAAACATTTCCCTCAGTTACTGCTTCATGCACATAGCAGGCCTTTCCACTCTATACACACTCTAATAAGCTTCTTTTTAATATATCCCACACTAGTAATAATAGTAAATGTACAACTGTACAGCAGTCGCAGGCCTCCTGGTCCTGATTAGCCAAATATTAAGCTCCCATAAGAATAGAGGGTGCTAGGCCTTGTCTATTTAGCCATCCCTATAAGTGGGTCTTTATACCACCTAGGGTGTGGGAAGGACTGCCCGATACCAAGACCGCTGTGATTGGCTGTCACAATGGTTACATGATTTGGAGCCTTCCCCACTGGCTCCCAATTATGACTAGAGACAGAGAGCTGTTTATGACAGTTCAGTCACTGTGCTGAGAGAACAGAAACATTGGTCTTCCATGTATGCATATGTACTGTATAACGTGTTGGCGTTAAAGCGTTACATGTGTGGAAAGAAGATAACCAAATAATGGTAATTTTTATAATGTGCCCCTTATGTAGGTACAGTATACAAAGATTTACATTTTTAAATAGCTTTTAATATTGTTGATCCATTCCTTAAATTATGGATGGTTCAGTGACAGACATTTTTGGGCAATTGACTTTCTAGATAGAAATATAGCTTCTGTGAAAGCAAGTTTAATAGATTCCATGCAATATGTGAAGTTTATGCTACCCAATACTCAGATTATAGTGGTACATAGAAGATCTACTATTATTATTACATCTAGTTTATATAGCGCCAAAGGGTTTGCTCAGCGCTGTACAATAGAGGGGTGGACAATACATGAAACATTACAGCACCTACAAACAGCACACGAGGGGTTATAGGACCCTACTCTTTCGAGCTTACAATCTACTAGAATGGTCTGTTTCAAGAAACCTACAAATTAAGTCTTGACCACATCAATTACAACATAGGCAGGGCCTGCCTAATGACATTTAATACTCAGATTTGAGAGCCTCTGCAACCCAGTGAAATTAAGGCATTTTACAGTTGAATAACAGGGGGTTGGACTTAGCAATAAGAGGGGTGGTGTTTAACCTTGGGTAGAA